GTGTACAAAGGGAGGGGGGGGGGGGGTGGTGGAGCCGCGACTGGGACCCCGCGCCCTCCCCTAGACACCTACGCCACTACATCGCTTCTTGTACAGTCGGGATGCCTGTTCACATCGGGAGCTTTTCCACTAGGCCTATCTGTACATTTACATCTCTGCCTATATAATTCTCATTGATAAAATGTGTAGCCTACTCGACGGAGGGAAGGAGCATATCACCCCGAGGGCCCTGTAAATCTCCCCTTGCTGGCGTCACTCTGGCCAAGCGTAACATCAAAACTTTTCCCACTTTGACCACTCCCAAAGAACATAGGCCTAGAAATTGAAATTGCGATCTTTCACCTGCGTTCGAACTCCCTGGAATCCCCGGTAAGGCCCTACTTTGTCGGGCGTTGTGGTGTTTGAAAGAAATTAATATTTGCCAACAATTCTGATTAGTACGGGTTACGAGACTAATGAAGTTCATAATTCACCACTTAGGATAACCACACGTTTGAGTATCCAACCTGAATTCATTATAATAATAGCATGCCCACAATATTGCCGTATTCTCGCTCTTTGAAGCCTTATGCCCAAGGTTGTTAATATTGTGCATAATTATAACCTCTGCTTTTACTGAAATTAAAATTCAACGTATGACGCCTGATTGAAGAATTACGGTACATATAAAGATTGTAACTTCCAAGCGATTACAGGATCTATCGACCTTTGTTATTGGATGTTAAAATTTAACTGATGTCACTGATTTTATTCATTTAATTACATATTCAACCGGATAATAATATACTGTACGTATTTTGTATTATGATCCTGGATATAACATTTAATATTTCATACACAACATGTTTAGGTGAAGAACAAGACTGCCATTAAATTTACACAAGGTTAGAAGAATCATTGTTAAAAAATAACTTTAAAAGAGTATTTTAAAAGAAATATACATAATATGTTTAAAATTTCTTAGTATTACGATCCTATTTAAATAGGAAATTGTGAAGTAAAAATATCGGATTAAATGACTCAACGTTCCCCCTAATGTCTATTTAAATTAGAAGGGGGAGCGTAGGTTGTTAAACTAGCTAAACTGGTGGTAGCCACTGAAATGCAAGTTACGATAGCGCACCGTCTTTCGGATGAGACGTTTAAGCCGTTGGTCCTGTGTGCATTATGGCCCATGTATACGTTAAAGAAACTTTTTGGAAAAAAAAAGTAGAGGATTGTCTCCTGGTGTACTGTCCAATCGCCACAGGAAGGGCTCTACTGTAAATAAGTCTTCTTCAGACTTTCGTGGGTTATCCTTGGTGTTTACACCGAATAAATCCATCCATCCATCCAGTCCTTGTGAGATACCAATTATTCCACGAAATAATAAAACGATTAGATTTCATGAGAGAAGAGAGAAAAAAAAAAACATTACAGAGTCTATATTCGTCAAGCTTACAGTATATCATGAATTGCTACTGCGAACTCAACTGAATTTAATTTCATACAATATACCTTATTTGCGTGTTGTGAAATGGATGAGTTGCTATCGACGCAGCCACTCCGGACATCCTGACGTTTTTAAATTATAATGGTGAAATCTCGAATGTATTTTATTATTATTTTAATAGTACGAATCCCATTATTGTGAAAAAGTAAACATTATACTGCCTGATGATGCCTGGTTGTATTGACAACTCATCACTAAGCACGCATAAAGCGGAAGTAAATACGCGTGCGTAAAGAGGAAATCCACGCGCGTAAATGAAAGAAATACGCGTGCGTAGAGAGGAAATAGACACGCGATATTTCATTGCAAAGCACCAGAAGATGTGTGATTATGTACTACTGTGTTAAGAGCCGAGGCTTATCCCAGGTGGAAGCTACTGGGAGCCCAAAAAGTCGCCGGGGTACCTGCGCGTACACGGTTGTTGTAGGGGGTGGGGGGGCAACATCGGGAGTGCACATTCCCTTTCCTCTCCTGTTCGCGGTCTTTTTTTTTATTTATTTTTTTTATTTTGTCATTTTTGGCCGCCATCTCACATCATTACTTGAACGGCTTGTTTGCTTATTTTATTTTTTTTAATTATTTCAATTTTTTTGTTTTTATGTTTTTTTCAATCTGAATTCGGGTCTGTATACTGTCAGCGCCTTGAGACGATTTTATTGTGGAAGGCGCTCAACAAATATCCTACCATTACTATTCTATTTCCATGCCTGTTGGTGTATCGATAGTTTATGGTTTCTTTTTATAAAATAGAGTACGTTTTTAACTTTTGTATCCTCGTATTTTGTAAAACTGTAAGTGATTTTGAAGTAGACTATCTGTGTTTACATTGTAAGCGACGAACTGTTGGTTTGGTGTTGAATGAATGAATAACGCAGTTTAAATTTTAATATAAGATAAACAGCCAGACCTGAAATTTATAGAAGTTATTGTGACCCCTTTAATTATTTACGTAAGATACATTTTCTTATGTTCACGGCGTTGAACTCTGACACGGCTGCTAAGCACCTTTTCTAGCATATCAGCAAATCAGCGACGTCGATCTAGCGTTTACCATGGTGACCGATATTCCAGTACCTTAAAGAATCAACGATGCTACATTCTTATTAGTTATCAAGGAAACAGCTTTGTATTGTATTGCAGCTGTATTGTCAGGGCCCGACTGTTTTGTCATCTATTTAAGTTGCGCGTGCTGTAGACGTACATACGATGGGTACTGGTGTATCAAAAGACACGGGTAAAACTATTTACATCAATGTAAACGGTCAAGTCAAGAAAGTAGGTGAATTATTTTTGTGATTTTGTAAGGTTACGCGCTGCCTGTAAATTTTAATCCTGTTTCACATTAGAGCAATTTAGACGTGATGAGGTAAACGCGCGCAAGCAACGATGTAAAGCTTGGTTTACACTCGGCCTAGATCAGTCGCGTTGGTGCAAGCGCACGTCTACTAACGTTGTTTGCGTTTGCGCTAAAGCGTCGAGGTTCCCTCATGTGTGAGAGGAACAATGTTACTAGTCTACTTTACAACGCTTTGCTTAAAACTGACCTCGTGTGAAACAAAATTTAAGGGGTTGCTCACAAATCATGTATAAAACTGACAATAACTTATACTCTATAAAACCACATTATGAGACTTAAGTGCAACTACGTTGTGGAGTGGAAAATCACATTTTGTTTACGGAATTAGATCTGCAAATATTTTCGATTGATGTTTATAAATACAGCTTAATTAGTACAGTAATAGTTTATTTTCTTTTATATTATGATAGACATAAGAAATGATTAAGAATCATAAAGAGTCAAACTGTAGCTTGGTTCTTTGTGTATGGGTTCACAAATTTGTAACTTATTGACGTCATAATGTTTTTTACCACTCCATGCATCTCATTATTCATTATTTATTTAATATAAGAAGACCTAGTTAGATTGGCGAATGCCATGCAGGATTATGAGCTATTGAATGCTAAAAACATTCACAACAGGCTATCACAAACTATACACAAAACGTGTATATTCTTAGAAGTGTATACGAAGAATTGTTCAATTCGTCGATGCCGGATAATGAACCGCGTGCCTCTGGGGAAAAGAAGTAATCGGAGAGAGGCCGACATTTCATGATTGATTCCTGCTTTGAGGCTGAATATATATATATGAGGAAGATGTTCCATACAATTATTTTCTTTTTTTTTCCATCGTCATCTACTACAGGTATCCTGTGATGAAATCTAGATAATTAATTAAATTGGGCTTTTAGGTTAATAGGCATTATGGAATAGAGAGACATAATAATAATAATAATAATAATAATAATAGTAATAGTAATAGTAATAGTAATAGTAATAGTAATAGTAATAGTAATAGTAATAATAATAATAATAACAATAGTAATAATGAACATGAGGATGATGATGATGATGATGATGATGATGATGATGATAGTGATAATGCGCTGAAAATTATCCCCCTGGATGTTGAAAACGAGAGCGATACGCACGTAAAGACGTGTATTTGTGGGACATGCACATGTTTTTTGGCCCTTTTATCATTGGTGAGTTGTTACAGTTTGGTGTTGACACTTTTCAAGGTTTACTTATCTCATTTTCGTCTAATTCAGTTGCACGTCCTAGTTTGTGCGGCTAATCGACTGTAGTGTGAATGGTGGCGTAGGCGTAATTGTTGCTTGCGTTTTGCGAAAACACGTCGAAATGGCTTTAGTGTTAACCAAGCATTATGATGGATACTACCACCAACAAGGCAAATTAATATTGGACGTTATTATGCGGCGCTTTTACTCCAAGTATAATGTAATCTCCTTCACGGGGCTGCCTCTTAAGTTAAGTGTGTTTTTATGTTTAAGCATTTATGTTTAAATAATTGAAGTGCCCTTCAATTATTAACATAAAGTGCCCACACTTTGCGATATAATATTTTCATAACATTTTAGTAATACATAGTAATACAGTACAAAATTTCGGTCATAGTCATTAAAAAAAGTTTGAAAAATCTTAGGCCTCCGAAAATTTTATATGAGCAAAATAAACGAATGTAAAGAATTAATGCTTTAATCGGATTTGAATTTTCATAGAAGCCTCAATGGCCCAGAGGTGTCTGCAGACAGCAGAAGTTCCCGGGTTCGAATCCCGTTTGGGACACCTATTTGTTCACAATTGCATAGGCCTATTTCTCTTCTCTAACGTTCAAAATTTATTTATAGATCTGTGTAAAAGCAAATCTTAAAAAAAACCACCACAGTTTTTAAGCTCAATAGCATATAGGCAAGGCCTAGCTGATTTCATTATTAAATGTTTCGGCAGTACATCTGCCATCTTCAGTGATTGCTTTCATGCAGTCTTTTTTATAAATGAAGTGAACAACTGCGATACATTGTATTGTAAATAAAAAAGGAATTGAACCATAGCTATTTAACAAACAACATGACCTATTGCATTTTAAAGAATCGATTAAACCGTAAATGTAAAGAAGAAAGAATGGTATGAATAAAAATGAAGAAACGAAATAATGAATATCAGAATGACAAAATTAAATGAAGATGTAACAGTTACCTGTTTTTAACAACTGTTGTGGTGTTTTATGATTTTTTTTATATAGGCCTATATTTATAGCATTACCGCAAGAAGGGTTAGTATTTATCTCTATATTTATCTATATATATATATATAGTATATATATATATATATATATATATATATATAATATAAATCAAGATAGCCGTTAACACTGTTAAATTATATATAATAAATCATCAAAGAAAGGTAAATACAGTG